AACTAGTGATTGAGAAGTTCTTTGAGACATCTCAGGTACATTTCTCATGCATGATATTGGGTTTGTTGTATTGCATACAATAGTGCAGGATTCTTTTTATTATGTCTAATAATCTATGTAGTAAAGACTATTTTTCATTGCCAGAGTTGAAGTTACAGAAAGATAAATGTTTAGGAGTAAAGGCAAAAGAAGCTACTGATTCTGATGTAGCACCTGTGAATGCACTAGGAGTCATAATCTAACCTGACTCTTTACCAGAAAAGGAAAGCATGCATGGACACCCATGAAGCAGAGACACTCTGAGCCTTGCCTCAAAACTCAAAGACATCCCTCACAACTGCTAACCAGCACTTGAAGATGCTCAAATAAAGCAGACTGTTTTATCTTTGACTCTTCTGATGTCAGAGCCTCAAGCATAGTACTCACACAGGACATGGAATGATGTTGCAGCTTGCCAAGTCATTTTTGAAATTTGCTTTAAAAAAAAAACCTCCTTCTCTGGTTTGACATTTCTCTTCACAGCTATCTGAGAGTTCTTTCAAGCCCCCACAGTGTAGGACAAGCCAAGAAAGGAGCCAGGCATAAACCAGCCTCTTCTGATTGTCACTTTTGAGAACTGCACAAGAGGCAAAAATCATCCTACCTTAATCACCAGTTGCACGTTCTTTTCCAGCCCAGTTTTCCATAGACACCATTTTCTGACTGATCCTGGCATGACAGCCGAGCCTGGGGCTGATGTGGTAACTAAAGCAAGCTTGAATTTCTAAACGTTTTGCTTTATTAGAATGGAGTCTGGCAAATAAGCAGCTACTATTACGAATTGGTAGGTTACTGTCACTGTCGTTGAGTCAAGGGAAGCTTCATGCTTCATGCTTTTCCAAACTTGTAGGAAGAGTAAAAGTTGGCTAAGAACAAGGTTGTAAATGGAATGTTATGTAGAATAAAATACTGAGAAAAGCACAAAATTTGGGAGAAAACAGTAATTTTAGGGAGGGAATAGCCAGTAAAATATTTGAAAAACATTTATTTTTATGTGGCATCTGACAAAGTATTAGAGATTGGTGGCTTACAATGGAATGGATTTCCTCACAGTCCTTTAGGTGGCCAGTCTGAAGTCACCTATCTAGGAATAGCTTCTCCCCTGAAAGCGCTGAACCCCATTTCTAACTCAGCCTCTGCTAGTTTGCTGGTAGGGGCCTCTTTATATGTAGACACAGTCTCCCCTAGCTTTTTTTTATCTAGCCTTCCTCCGTGCATGTCTACCTTAGGCACCTGTTTCCATTTTTGTAAGAGCATCGGTCCAATTGAATTGAGCCCTGGCCTAATTGACTTAATCCTCTTTAGTTGGTTGAATCTGGAAATGTGCTATTTTCAGAGAAGCTCACATAGTCACACCATTCAGCATATTAAAGTATGATTATGTCTAAAATGTAGTATGCATGAGAGACTGGGAGGGAACAAAGGAAGCTGAACAGATATGGGAGCAGAAAGACTGCTATCATTAACCATTTGGCATAGCAACTGTCCTTCAAGCCCTGTTTGTTCCCAGCTCTGCCTGGGCCTCCTTTCTATCAGTGGTGATCTCAGGATCCTCATCCCCATGACAAGCAAACCAGCCTGCATGCACCGTTTTGGTCGGCTTTGAAATTCTTGGGGCATGACAAAATGATTCCTCTATCCATATTATGCACACTCACCACCAGACATTGAGTCCTGCAGCTGGTTCTGATGTGAGTGGCTTCCAGTCACAGAAAAGTCCCCTCTACATGCTCAGTAAGCCCTTCAATAAGCATGAAACATTGCTGGTGTCTCCTTTCTGCCCTGGTGAAACCTACAATTTCAGTTCCTTCAAGCTCTATTCATTAATGCCTCGTGAATTTTTAAAGACTACTGAGAAATGTGAACCTTGTGCTATTTTCTCTTTCTATGAATTAGCAGGTGATCATGTCTTCATACTCTACTTTAATGACAATATCCATAACTCTTTAGTTTAGTCCTTAGGTTTACCACCACCCTGCTCCTCTCACTTTCTCCCATGGACATCTTTAAAAGTGGATTTTTTTTTTTTGGTTTTTCGAGACAGGGTTTCTCTGTATTGTTTTGGGGGCTATCGGTCCAGCCCAGCCTCGAACTCACAGAGATCTGCCTGCCTCTGCCTCCCGAGTGCTGGGATTAAAGGCGTGTGCCACCACCGCCTGGCTAAAAGTGGATATTACATGTTACTTTCTGTCCAGTTTCCTTACAATAATATTAAAATATTCCCATCCCTCATATAGTCACTCAACGTTTTCTTTTCTTTATGTATCCTTTCTAGTTTTCTTTTCTATATCGGGAAACTTTAGAGACTGATAAATGGAAGTTATCCATTATTTCTTTAGGAAATACACACTCCTACCAGACCATCTTGGTTACATTTGCAGTCAACTTCCCTTTCTCCGTGCCAGCTGTCCAGGCCTCCCACAGTCTAGGTTTCTTACAACAGTACTTCCAAAAACTGCAACAATGCCACAAAACTTATAATCGTCCCATATGCCATTTGTTTATTACTTCAAGATGTCAACTCCCAACCACTGTTCTGGTACTGGCTTTTAGTAGCGTATATTACCCTCATTTTGTATCTGTTGGACTGAGACTATGCTTTGCTTTATCCTCATTGTGTCCTCATACATATAGTTCTATAATAACTCTATAGTATATTACTTATCTCGTAGAACATCCAACCTAATGTAAACAGTGTCATTTAGAGCTAAAGAGCCTTGGAACTCTTTGGTGTGAGGGCAAGGAAGAAACTGACCTATTTAGTCAAGTGGGTCCAATGTCTGCTGTCCCAGGTCCTAACCAGATATGAGGAAGATTGGGTTTTCAGTCCAATCATTAAGTACATTTAAGGACTTATGGTAGAAGAAGGAGTTAAATTATTTGTAAAGTATGTATGTAACTGGATCCCAAGATTGGAGACAGAAGATCAGTGAGCTGGAGCTGTAACTCCATTAATAAGCACCGGACTTAGATTACCAATGCTTAGGATTTGTTCCTTTGACATGAGAAATCAAATGCAAAACAACATAACCAAAACAAGATGAAGGAATAGGATGAGAGGAGGAGAAAGTAAAGAATCTTCATAGTTAAAACATATTTATTACTTTGTTTTTAATCAAGAGGATTAAGATCTTTTTCTCCTCTATTTTTTGTATAATTTGTTTCCTTTATAACATTAATCACAAAGAATTATCACTCAGTATACTAATGTAAATTACTCCTCAGGGTTTGATTTAAATCTTAGAAAAGAAGTCAATTTTAACTAGGCACAATGATGTACATCTGAAAGCCCAGCACTTTTATGGAAAGGTAGTTAGATTTCTAGTTCCAGTCCAGCCTGAGCTACATAGTAAAAACTGAGAAAAACATAAGACATGGTATTTGCTTAGCATGTACCAGGCTCTCACATCAATCCCCAGGGGAAAAATAAAATAAAAACTGAATTAAAATTCATGGTTTCCTCTTCTTTGTAAGTGTAAGTCCATCATTGTATCTATTAATACATAAGACTCCTGGCACTTTTTAAAGGCAATCTAATCCTGTGGAAAACTCAAATAAATAAAAAAGCAATAAAACAATAACACTGTTATACAGATTAACAGATTTTGGTTGAAATGAACAGGAAAAGGATCTGAAAGAACCAATTACGGAACAATCGTGAGTTTAGTGTGGCCACCATTTTATGACAGCTCTTGTTATCATAAGAGATTATTTCTCTAAACTTTGGCTTAACATAATGTACTCTGAGCACTAATCTGTTAGATGCTGTCTTTACAAAATGTTATTTATTCAACATTCAAAATATTTATTTCCTATTTAATTTTAGTAATGCTTTATATCACACACTATCCATATCATATGATACTTTAGAATGTTTGGAACTAACTGGATGGCTAGATTTCTAACTTTTGTTTGTACTATTAATTTGAGGAACCCAGAGGGCCAAAACATTTTTTAACCTTCACAAACAAGTCTATAGTGAGACCATGAACTCTTGAATAAGATATCTGTATTCCTTTATTATTTAGTAATATGACGTATTACTTCTTTATCTACTGAAAATAATAAAACAGATCCTGCTTGCAAATGATAAGATAAAATATTTTAGGTATTAAACTTAGAAAAGTTAATAATAATTTTTATAAATGTCTAATTTCCCAAGCAAATCCATTGCTAAATATCTTGACAACAAAAGCTTTATAATAATTCAGCAATTAAATTGTAGCAATTGGAAGAAGTGTTTTGAAAATATAAAACACTTTAGAATCATGGATTGTATAAAATCAGAAATGTGAGGGAGAAATGAGATTCTCCTGATACCTATTTACTTCTTTGGTTTTCCTTCAAAGAAACTATTCTGATCACATGTAACAGCTCACAGGGATAAGTCACACTTACTAGTCAGTTCTAAGCAGTTGTAGCTTTCCACGGCATGGACCTTTTCATCTCTCAGAAAATCTGGACCCTTAAGACTTGCATGCAGTATCCTCACATTACACTTCCTACCTTAGTAACTTTGATGAAAATTTAAGAGAGATTTTACCTTTAGTCAATCATATAAGCACTAAAATGGAAACCACATTCTACTCTTTCAATGTGTCGCATACTTTCTTTTATTATTATTTCATTTTATTATTGAAAAATGCCAGACAATAATTGAGCATTTGGGAGTGGTCAAGGTACAAAGGCATGCGCATTAAAATTGTGCTTCAATAAAGTATTTGTGCATTATAAGTAATCACTCTACTTCCAGGAAACACATCTAATCTTTCCATAGTAAGGGAATAACATGCAGCATATGATATTTTCAGTACACAGATTTGCAACCCTATCACTATGTGAAAAATTAATATTGCAAAGTAAACATGGGAAATTATGTTATCTGGAGAAGGACCATTTACAAATCTTCTGTTGAGGACTCATGATTGTAATGTGACGTAGAGTTTTTTTTTCTCTAAAAGGTTTTCTACTCCCCTTTGGCCCTCTTCATACCACCTCCAGTGTTTGCTGCTCATATTCAATTCAATCTCCTATACCAATTTTGGATCCACACAGAGGTAAGGGTGAGTGTGTGTTTGTGTGTGTGCTAAAAATCTTATACTAAAACAGCCTCAAGCAATGTCCTAGAAATGTACCAGCAGCTGATTTATTGTGTAAGAAAAAAATCTTAAGTCTGCCTTCTTTAAAGAGAAACATCTGTTCATTTTTATTCCTTTTATTCTGAATATATATTGCAAAGTTTATAAGATGCAATGAAGCCAGTTGGTCCCAATTAAATAAAATAATTTTGAACTATTAAGTACCAAAACATTTTAATACTATTTGCTACAATATTTCGCTGTATTACAGTTCATTAAACATTACTAAACAAGAGATGTTGAAATCCATTTCAATTTAGAGATAGAAGTGTGTGTGTGTGAAGATCACTTGAAAAATGTTTAGCATTTAAAGAAATTAAAGAAATATTCTTAGTGATCTTACTTTAATTAGAGTTTGTGTTTTGTTTAAACTTGTTCAATACATTGTTAGGTGTTATTTTGTTTTCTCTAGAAAACAATGCAGAACTTCTCAGTTCTATAAACTTTCAGATCTTTAGTCTTAAATGATTGTCGATACATTATTAAGCAACCATCTAGATTATCAACTATTTATCTTCATTTTGCTGTTAAGTATATAAATATCATAGATCCCAAAAAGTACTTTATGCACAGGGGAAATCTTTAAAACATTTGCATTTACTGGCAGCCTTTTGAAGTTCCAACAGTGAACATGTTGATAGGTGGTAAAGTGCAGTGCACCACATCAGTAGTAACAGCTGCACCAGACACCAAGTCTTAGCGTAAAGAAGCATCGTTTCATTGTCTGCAGTATTTCACACAGTCACAAAGCTTCAGATAGAGACACCATTGCCCTGACTTTGAATATATGTGTATTATTTGAAGATCTGTCATGAAATACTATTTGTTTTATAATAGTTGACATACATCAAACAAGCTCATACTGCAGCCATTTGAAAGAGTTGTCAAGGCCAGTTCTGACTCTAGAGGTCAAAGACCAAATTTATTTAAATCAGTGAAGGAAAGCATCGTGCTGATTTACTCAGAGGGGTTAAAGGAGAGTAGCATTTTTACAACGGCTCTGCCTGAGGTCATGCCTTGTGTCAGGCCCAGTATTAGTTAGGATATGGAAAGATGATTTGTAAGGAACCAACGCCTTTCCTGTGTCTCTCCAAGAAATCCTTGAGCCAAGGTTCATGTGCCTTCTCAAGGAGAAACATGTAGACCAGAAGACAGTGGAGAATTATTTAAAGATCCAGTTGAATAGCATTACGTACAGCCTGTCATACGTGCGGCATGTCATATCTTTGTAGAAACTTTAGCAAGCAATGTTTTTTTTAGCTGAATTGCATGAGAGAAAATCCCCATTTAATAAACTTATTGTTTGAGTTACATTAAAAGCTGTGAATTCATTTCTGAAAATTTCCACAGCCTGGAAATTTAGACAACATACTTTCATTTGTTTACAAGTAAGAGAATGATTCAAAAAGAAACTCAAAATGCTGATGGCAGTGGTGGTTTCTGAATAGACTTCAGGTGGGGGAATTTTAATTTTATGTTTAGTCTTTAAGTATTTATGTATTTAATTGTGTGTGTGTGTGTGTGTCTGTGTGTCTGTCTGTGTCTGTGTATGAGTGTATGTATGTACACCATAGATGAAATGTCTATGGAGAGATAAGGAGTGTCCAGGGAGTTAGAGAGTTGTTTGCCATCATTTGGATGCTGCTGGGAACTGAATCCCAGTCCTCTGCAAGAGTAATCACTCAGATATCTCTTCAGCCTCCATGGAGATTTAATTTAAAAAACTATATTTTCAACATGTGCTAGTCCTATTTTGTCAACTAAAAGTTAAGGTAGCTGAATCCTCAAGCCTGACAATTTGGGCTTGATCACCAAGACCTACATTGTAGAATAAGAAAACCTGTTTAAGCAAGTTGTCCTCAGACTTCCACATGAGCCCTAGGACACAAGGGCAATACACAGAAAACACACACACGCACACACACACACACACACACACACACACACACACACACACACAATGACTTTCATTAAATGTTTTTAAATGTTACCACACATATTAAAGGCAAAAACTACAATCATTGGTTTCTGTCTACAAAGTGTGCTCATTAAGACTGAAAAGCTGTTAGCTTGTTGCTAAACACATCCTAGGTTCTCGCACACCCTAATATCACAGGATTCCATTCAAAGAAACCTTGTGAAAGACCCAAGTATTCCAGTGTTGGCCAGGTCACTTGGCCCATTCACAAACAGAGGTGTTCTTCTCTGCCTTCCTTGAAGTCCAGTTCTCACAAAAGAGGAAGCTCGTTAAGGAGACACTTGCTTTTCCCAAAGGGAAAAAGCCACTTCCTTCAGATTAATATGCCTGATGATATCATGCTTGATATTTTTTATTGCTTACCTGTGGATTCTGCTAGCCAGGAAACAGTAGTATCTTATGTCAGTCTCCTTTCTGAAAGTTCCAAAAATCCTCTTCTTGCTTTGGAAGTCTGTTCTGCTATTCTTTTTTTTTTTTTCTTTTTTTTTTTTTTTTTTTTTTTTTACTTTTGAGCAGAGAATACAAGGTTTCACTTTACATGGCTTTCAACGTCCTGGGACTCACCATGTAAACCAGGCTGGACTGGAACGCACAGAAATCCACTGGCCTCTGCCTCCAGGGTGCTGGGTTAGAGGTGTGCACACCATGTCCAGCTGTTGCTAAGTTTGTGATGTCGAAAGATTTGTTTAATTCTCATGGACCTAGGGTGCTGGCATCACAACCTTGGTGTGCTCTTTTTCTGAAAATGCATGAGTACAGCACAAGAACATTTTTAAATACAAGTTTTAAACTTCACAGCTATACATGTCCATTTTTTAGGTATTAATTATTACTGGGGTTTAGCTGAACCATCACAGCACACTGGTAATAGCGTGAATTAATACAGTTTGTTATAATCTGTCGCCATGCCTGAGAAGAGGAATGTTACACACAATTAATTCAATGCTATGATATTGAAGATTGGTGTCATGATTTGATGAGTTCTGTACCATTAAACTGAAACCTCCGAAGAATGCTAATTCTGCTTGGATTCTTGGCTCTAGGTGCCTGTGTGGTTTTGTTAACTTGTTTCCTTTAATCTCTTTTATTATCTCAAACTGTGAAACATGTTCTGCTCAGATTTCCTTTGAAACTTTTACAGTTTCAACTTTTACCCTTAGGTCTACATTATGCTTAAAATTCTGTCACTTAGGCATATGGCCCGTGGTTTAGATCAAGACCTGCAGTGGATCCACGGCAGTGAGTCCAGTGCTTTATGCGCATGTGTTCCCTCCAGCAGTTTTATATAATGGGTGGTCTTAGTGCCTATCCTATAAAGAAACTGACTATCTATGTGAGTGATAAGTATTGGATCCCCAGCTATTGGGTATCCCCCACTGATGTGCTAAGCCAAATCAAACCAAATTAATAAATCCAGATTTAATAAAGAGAGCAAAGCAACCCCTGGGTGGCACTCGAGAAACCAGGAAAGAGATCACACGGCAGCTGTGGAGACCAGCTCTTACATACTCTGTAGGCATGCACTTGAGCAGCTCTGGGGAAGGAGCTGACCCTCGGCTAGCTGTCTGAGGGGTGGGGTCTGGAATGGGTGGAGTGGGGGCACAGCAGAGAGACCCGACAGTTCCGTTTTTTTCCAGTTTCTTTCATTGTCTACTTATATTCCTTTACACAAATCTCCCACTTTATTGATTAATGTAATTTGTAACAAGAGTTATGGTGAAATTTGCTTAAAATTCTCTATTAGCTCTTTCAAGAGCAATGTTAAAGGAAACTTCTGTTTCTGTCTTTTAGTTAATTCTGATAATTGTTTTTATTTTCATGATTTATCACTTTGGCAAGAATCTACCGTAGAAGACAGGAGCTAGGGGCTCCTATCTATCTCATGGCTCACTGTCCTCATCTGGTTTTCTGTGTAATTTTCTCTCTTTCTGTTAGTAATAGTTGTTCTAGTGGTGACTTAAAACAAACTTTTTATGTAGTATGTGTATATGCCTCCTTGTCTCCATGGGCACTACATGTGCAAATGTGCCCCTCGAGGTGTGGTGTTTAACACTCTAGAAACTGGGATTACAGCCATCCGAAAGAGTAGAAAACAAACAAACAAACAAAGAAACAAAGAGTAGTAGGTACCTTTTCATGGAAGACAATCTCCATCCATGTCTTTACCTGAATTCAAATTGTAAATCCTGAGATTCAAGGAAGAAAAACTATTTGCACAATTTTGAGTTAAATTTGAAACAAACTTTAATTAAATATTGACCAGATAAAAAGAACTATAGCCAGATCCACCTGTGGGTTCCCAGGAGGTGACCACCAGTCACCTTTTGCAAAGGCTTGAAAAAGGAAAAACCCATATATCCTTGCATTTCCCATCAGGTCCAAAGAGGGCCAAGCATACATCCTGGCATATTTCCCGCCTACATAACTCCTGCCTACATGTGATACAGATGGAGATGTGTGAAACAAACTTGTTTAGGGAAGTAAAACCATGTGGCTTGTTATTTCCTAAGAACTACAACTCCCAGCATTCCAGGAAGTCACCTTGTACTCTCACAGGTGGGCAGGTGGGTCTTCCAGATTAACTTTGGTCTTGCAGCATAAATATCATTTGTCGCTTATGTAGGAATCTTATAGCATCATAATTCTTTAGGACTCACTTAGAAACTGATTTTGCCCAAAAGCTGGAGTCCTCAAGTGTGTCTGGAAACTAAAATCTGAATAAAAGCACAACATTTTCATTTTGCATGTACTCCCTTTACTGAAGATTGGACCCCCGATTGCCTCTGTACAGAGTCACATGAATCAACACCAAGTGTCTAAAAACTGGTACTACTTCATCTACCTTATTCTTCAAGATGGAAAACACAAAGGGAAGAGTACTAGAGCACTTTTACCACAGGCTCTTAGATCCTGGCTTCCAGAACCTTGAGAAAGCCCTTGA